GCGTAGCCCCAAAAAAATTTTAACCCCCCCCCCCATGGATTAATTTTGGCTATGTCACTGTATGCTATTGTTTATTCCTTATCAATTTGATTGATTCAAATCGTGAAATTGAAATTCTAGGAAATATTTTGAACTAACAAAAATTCTTCATCATTTTTTATATGATATAAAGCCTAAATATTAGTAATAATCACAATAAGCCTAAGAGATGGTGAATTATTTTTTTTTATTTTATGTGTCTGTAAATTTTTTATTTATTTAGTGTTATAAAAAAATTTACATTTCTGATCTTTACCATAGGAGAAAAAGGGGCTAAATTTAAAGTTTTGTTTGACTATTTTCAAATTTTTCTTGCATATTTTTTTTTAAAAAAGAAGTAAACAACACATGGATCCAAACCGAACTGTTAAACCGCTAAAAATCGGTATTTTATCGAACCTGAACCGAACCTAAACCGCTAAAAAATTTCAGCCGAACCTGAACCAAACCGCTAAAATGCCTCTGAACCGGTTCGAGTGTCATGATTTTATGCTTATAAAATAATATGTATGTTATTATTAAATTTGAATTATATTCGAATAATTTTAAAGATTATCATCAATCACATTGATAAGTGTCGGTCATAATTTTTATAAACTTTAGTATATTTATATTGTCATTTTACAACATTTTTTTAAATATTTTAAGTTTATATATTATAATGCTTAGAGAAAAATTAAATCCAAAATATTATTATAAATGACACATCAAATCTGATATCATATTGGCAGTGCCGGCTACCCAAGAAAGATGTTTCAACAATTAAATTTATACTATCTCCTTATAGATGTAATTTGAGTGAGACGAATTTTGAAAATATAATAATTGTTAGGCTTAATAAAAAAAATTAAGTAAAAAAAAGTAAAATATTGTTCATATTTAAATTAATCATTGATATATATTTATTTTTATATTTATAAATTAAATTTTATTTTATAATGTGCAATTAATAAAAATGCAGGATTTTATTTTTATTAAGAAATAAAAAAAAATTTTCCTTATGCACAATCCTAATGTAGGTTTGAATACAAAAGTGTTCAAACCGGTTTTTAGAGGTTCGAACCGAACCGATATTTTAATTTTTTACGAACCGAACCTGAACCTTGAACCGTTATTTATATCTGAACCTGAACCCGAATTGAATCGATATTCGTTTCGGTTTGGATCCCTGAAACAACACCAACTTTGATACAAAATTAGTAATATCATATTAGGTGAAAATAAAATTCTTTAAAATGATGCAATAAATATTTAGTGGTTCATGAAGATTTAGAAATTTAAAACAAATTCTGAATATAATTTGAATATGATTATTTTATATTTATCATGTTTATATTGGAACTAGTTATTTCTGACACTTTATTGATAAAAATATATAAACGTTTTACCTTAACATTTATTTACTATAAATGATAAATAAAATTCAAACAAAAGTTAAATTTTTGCTGATTACAATACAAATCCTGTATCTTTCTTCTTTATATATAAATGTGGCCAAAATTTATTAAAGGAAAGGGCACTATTAGGTGGATTTTCTATATATTTTATTGAAAAGATGCCCACCTATGTAGGCCTTTGGCCTCGCTGGATAAAAAAAAGGAATTTTGTGTTTTTTTTATTTCTGAAAACTCTTATATAGTAATTCTTTTAAAAAAATTATTAACTTTCACTGGAGATGGTGGGGGGGGGGGGTGTAGGTTTTCTCCACTTTAAATTCAATTATTTATTTCTAAAGGGGACTCCTCACCTTCTTCGTTAGGACTATGTCCTCATCCTCATATATAATTTGCGAATTATGATGCAATTTAATTGAACATAGTATTGTGTTGCTTGTCATACAAGTTTGAGTTGCCTTGTCCTACATTTTGTATTTATTTTATTTTTCACGGCTAACGTGACCATTATCACGTCATTATGATTTATACTATAATATAATATTTTGAATTTTATATTCGAATTTGAAAAAAATAAATAAACTCTCATTGACCCCGAATTCCATTTATTTCCTTTTAAGAGATGCAAGTCATTCATAGTGGGATCTGATCCCACACGAATTAATCGATTTTGAAGATATGCTTATGAGATCAATTATTTTTTATTAAAATCAATGTTTCTTAAATTTTTATCTTGAAATGTAAAATTGATCTCATAAATAGATTTTTGAAATCGATCAATCATGTCAAATCGGATCCCAGCAGATTAAAGATTAGTAAACCCGATATATTTATATTATATAAATACAGTTAAAAATGTGCAAGAATGTTGACCAATCAAATGGCACATTAAATCCCTCATCAAAAGATAACCAAAGAAAAGAAATATATTTCTATTATTATATAATATAAGATATTTAAAAAAAATAAATAATTATAAAGTAGAAATGAGTTGTCTGTTAGAATCTGGAATGATGCCAAATAATTTAAGGTCAGCAAAAAACGATCTGACTTATATTTAAAATAATGTAGACATCTTTTTTTTTTAGATTTATTTTAATCAGAGTTGTTAACGCTCCTTTTTAAAAGTAGCTAGCTCCCGCTCCAAGTAATGGAGCGCCAATCCATAACCGCTCCTTTGATTTTCATTTTTTTTAGAAGGTACACGAAACAAAATCATTTTATAAAAAGGTTTTATTTATAATAAATGATCTATCAAAATATTTATAATCTTTTATTAACTTTTAAAAGTAATAAATTTTCTAAATTAGAATCTCACAAACATCCACGTCTCTCACCTAAGACCTGTTTTGCAATACTAAATAAACGCTCAACAGGAGCGCTAGAGGGAAGCGGGGTATTGTATTTTATAAAGATATTTTTTTAAAAAAAAGGAGGTTGAACAAGTAATGAGAAAATTAAAATAAATATTAAAATATATTTAAAAAAGCATCATACCCAGGCTCAACTATAATTTTTTTTTTTTTTTCTCTTTAGCTTTCACCTTTTTTGGTGGTAAGCTCCTTCAACATCTCTCTCCACTTTATGTTATTCATACAATCTCTTTTATCTATTTTATACTTCTTTATATTGGCTCTAACTTTATGGCCCCATTGAAGTTTTGGCCTTCCTCTTTTACGTTTGCTCATCACTTCCAAACTTTCAACTTTATTTCCTATGTAGTTCATAGGCCTTCTCATTGTGTGCCCATACCACCTAAGTCTGTTTACCATTAACTTAGTCTTAATGGGCACTACCTTTAAACTATTTAGTATTCTTGTACTGCTCACCTTATCCTTTCTTGTTACCCCAGCAATCATCCTCAGCATTCTCATTTCCATAGTTTGTAGACTTCTCTCGTCTGATTCTTTGGTTGGCCATGTTTCCGAACTATATAGAATAGTTGGTTGTACTATGGAACTGTAGATTTTTCCCTTTAATTTGTGTGGGATTCTTTTGTCAAATAGCACTCCAGATAAAGATCTCCACTTTAACCACCCTTGATTAATCTTATTAATAATTATAACCATTTTAAAAAAATTATTCCAAAATAAAAATAAAAATAAAAATAGTTATCATTTTGTATTTAAAAGAAAGGTTTTTTACTTTTAAATGCTTTTTTAGATTGAAGCTGCTCACTTTTGAAAATGAAATACTTTTACTTAAACACAAAAGGCATTTTGCCCTTAAATTTGTTTGATCATTTGGATCAACATCTTTTAGAAGTTTAAAATATTTTTTGTAAGATGGAAATTCGATTTTTTCTTCTATGATCTCTAAATCCATAATATCTAATACTATTTTTTATCTATAAAATGAATATTAATATGACTTACAAAGATTTTCCAAAAAATTTTCTATATAAAAATGAAAAACTTGATGTTTAATATTTAAAATGATTAGATGAAAAACCAATATAAAACTCGGCTCAACATTTATTAATGGATAAATTTAAATAAAATAAAATTTCATTTTTATTGAATTTTAATTAAAAAACATTATTAATATTTAAAAAATAATTTAATGTGGAACGGCGCTCCTCCTCATTTTTAAAAAGGAGGGGCGGGGCGCTTTAGATGTTTTTGAAAAAATGTAACGACTCTGATTTTAATTTATATTGCCATAAAAATAATTTCTCATCATAATTATATTTATAATATATTCATGTTTTGTACTTCTCTTTGTCTAACTATCAATTTAATAATCCACAAACAACAATATCTTAAAATAGATATTATTATATATTATCATCATTTATAAAAAAACTTTTAAAATCTGCTTTGCTGGGTAAAATTCTGGGTAAGATTTTAAAAAATTTACGAAAAATGGCTATTCTTAAATATAACAAAAATGATTCCATGAAAAAATGATCAAAAAATGTTTTTTTTGAATAAAAAAAACAAATGTTTTAAATAGGAACTCTTTAATAAGAAATCATTTATAAATGAAAATCGTATATTACATGTTTTTTTATATTATATTATTTTTAACATATAATTTAAAATAAATAAAATGAAAGTTTAAAATAAAAAAAATTTTTTTTAATAATTAAAAAAAAATATTTCAAAAAAGGGTTCGGAGTTGGGTTCATCTAAATATTGAGGATTCGGGAGGGTTTAAGTTCGGTCATCCCTGATTTTTATTCTATAATGTTCTCTTTCTTAAATTCCAGTAGATCAACGCTCATGTTTAGTTTAAATGTTAGAAGAAAGTTAATAATTTTTTTAAAAGAATTTATTACAAATGATATGAATCATAATCTTACTGCAAACAATAAATAATAGAGCTTGTGTTGTGACAAATATTGCCTAACCCTGCATTCACAGTTAACGCGAATTTGCGGCAAAGTATATAAAAACGAAAGAATTATTATATTTATATCATATTTTGCATACTACGCCTGCGACAACTGTGAACGCAGAGTAAAGCAGTCTCTAGCGAATTGGTTATTTTGTTAATTTTTTATATGGTTAGAGACTTCCTTTGGTTTAACTAAGGAATTTGAATTTACTAATTATACTCTAAAAAATGACAGAAACAATATGTGTTCCCACTCTAGCTTTTGTTTTAGCGTGCTGCCATTTTTTGCTTATTTCGTTAATAGCATTTTTATTTTATAAATGATTTAAAGCAAGAATCTCTACTAATGAAGCACTCAAGAATAATATAAATTCCATCATTGGTGCTTATATAGATTTACTAGCAAATTTAACTTCAAAGATTTCTTTAGCGTATGATTTTCATATGGCGATTAGCAAAATTAATTATGGAATTTAAATTTAATGATTAAGCACTAAATAATGGCAAAAACCGAATGTTTACTAATATTTTTATTTGTTGTTTATTTTTGTTTTTTTCTTCAATAACTTTTTTGTTTTAATAGGATCTACTAAACTGATTAAAGTACTAACCTCTATTAACAAAGCACTAAAGAAATATAAATAGTTGGTGCTTCCAATTGTTCGGCCAACTTCACGCCTAAGTTGAGATATCATAGCTTATAACTTTGGGGTTAACCAAATTAATAACTTAATTTAAATTTAACAATTAAGCAGCACTAAATAATGGCGAAAACCGAATGTTTGATGATACTAAAGATTTTGTTTTGTTAAGCTATTTGTTGTTTATTTTTGTTTTTTTTAATAACTTTTTTATTTTGATTAAGGCTACTAAACTGATAAAAGCGCTACCCTCTACTAATGAAATACTAAATAATGATATAAGTTTTTCGATAGTGCTTCCAATTGTTCCTCCAACTTCTTCACTAAATCGTGAGTCATAATTTTAATTAGGCATATAACTATTTTTTTGGTTAACTAAATTAATATCGGAATTTAGATATACATTACGTTCACCACTAGTTTATGTCAACCAATTGACATATTCAATTATTTGAACAAGAATGTTTAAGAATATTTATTTATAGGGTATACATAAAAAACAACTAACATATAATTTTAATTGTTTATGAAAATTCAGCTTCTTCTATCTGTGAATAATATTTCGAGAAGTGTTCGGGCATTAAATCTGAACTTAATAACACTGGTCTAGAAACGCCATTATAATATAATGTCTTCCCAAGTAATCTGGGTGGCCTAGTGAAAATTGGTGAGTGAGTTGGCATAGCAAAAATTGATAGACGAGTTGGCCTTGTAGCAATTGATGGGTGAGTTGGCATAGTAGGATGAGTTGGCATAGGATGAGTTGGCATAGTAGGATGAGTTAACATAGTAGGTTTAGTTGGCAAAGTAAAAATTGTTGGGTCAGTTGGCAAAGTAAAAATTGTTGGGTCAGTTGGTAAAGTAAAAATTGATGGGAGAGTTGGCAAAGTAAAAATTGTTGGGTCAGTTGGTAAAGTAAAACTTGGTGGGAGAGTTGGTAAAGTAAAAATTGTTGGGTCAGTTGGTAAAGTAAAAATTGTTGGGAGAGTTGGTAAAGTAAAAATTGATGGGAGAGTTGGCAAAGTAAAAATTGTTGGGTCAGTTGGTAAAGTAAAACTTGGTGGGAGAGTTGGTAAAGTAAAATCCGTTGGGTCAGTTGGTAAAGTAAAACTTGGTGGGAGAGTTGGTAAAGTAAAGATTGTTGGATCAGTTGGTAAAGTAAAACTTGGTGGGAGAGTTGGCAAAGTAAAAATTGTTGGGTCAGTTGGTAAAGTAAAACTTGGTGGGAGAGTTGGTAAAGTAAAAATTGATGGGAGAGTTGGCAAAGTAAAAATTGTTGGGTCAGTTGGTAAAGTAAAACTTGGTGGGAGAGTTGGTAAAGTAAAAATTGTTGGGTCAGTTGGTAAAGTAAAAATTGTTGGGTCAGTTGGTAAAGTAAAACTTGGTGGGAGAGTTGGCAAAGTAAAAATTGTTGGGTCAGTTAGTGAAGTAATAATTGGTGGGAGAGTTGGTAAAGTTGAAATTGACGGGAGAGTTGGTAAAGTAGGATTTGACGGGAGAGTTGGTAAAGTTGGAATTGGCGAGAGAGTTGGTAAAGTAAGAATTGGCGGGAGAGTTGGTAAAGTAGGAATTGGCGGGATAGTTGGTAAAGTTGGAATTGGCGAGAGAGTTGGTAAAGTAGGAATTGGCGGGAGAGTTGGCAAAGTAATCAATGTCGGTATTGTAGGTGTCGTAATAAGGGGTAGCGTAATAGGGGGTAGCATAAAAGGAGGTAGGCTGGCAGCATGACTGGCTGATTGCCAAATTGAGGAATTGGATACAACGCTCCACGAAAACGTTTCTGTCACCCCGAGAGTAAATAGTGTTAGCCATGCCAAAAAATATATCCCTCTTTATAATTTTTGAAGCCACCAATCTTGGACCAAGGTGAGCCATAACATCCCCTTTTCCCCCCATAACAACTCTTTATAATGTTCAGAAGAACCATTTTACGTATGATTTTAGGCTTTCGGCGGTGGGAAGAGAATTTTTCATAATACCTTTTGCACTTGCCTAACTTCATGTCCCAATAAGAACAATCCTTTTTGTCTCCGGTAGTAGAGGTAATGGGGGAAGTCGTGGTATCCGGTGAACCTTAGTTTAAAATTAAATGAATTGAATTATATATAATAGATCATAAATTAGAGATCTGCAAAAGTAGGCCAGGCCAATACCCTGCCCGAATCCGGCTTCGGGCCGGGTCGGGCTTAATATTTTTAAAAAATTTAGGCCAGGTCGGGTCGGGCCTTTGAAATTTTTTTAAATATTTCTAAATTTATCAATTTTACATTAAATTTTTTATGTAACATAAAAATATTTGATTTTATTTATAGAAACTAGATGCCATATAACATATGTCTTGAGTAATTATAAAAATTAATTTCTATATTTAAATAAATTCGGGCCGGACCGGGCCGTAAAATTTTTTAAAAAAAATTTCGGGACGGCTGGGTTTGAAAAATTAGGCCCGATGCAGATCACTATCATAAATACCTAACAATGTAAAATTCATTACCAGATATCGAAAGTGTTGTTGAATCGCTACTGCTATACTTGCGGCTTTTCTTAAGCCCTCTGTTTTTTTTACCTTTATAGTTCTTTTTATTTTTTCCTTTTTCGTAATTGGATTTGCGGATTTTCTTTAGGAAGCTTCCGCCTTTGATATTCTTTTTGTATATCCATTTCTTGATATCATCTAAATCATCATCATCACTGTCGTCAACATCTCCTGCTGTTGTTATTATAGTAGTTTTAGTGGTTTCTGTCGAATTTCCTCTTTTGATTTTATAGCCGATTTTGTTTTTATTACCGCCTATGTTTAAATGACCACCTTTATTATAGCTATTTCTTCTAGTGTCACCTTTGCTATAACTACCTTTTTTGGATTCTCTATAGTAAAAGTATGCATCCTAAATGGAAAAAAATTGATAAAAATTAATTTATATTTCGGTCAGAAATTTTTATATATTTTTAAATATCTTTATAAAATTGTCAGATTTGTACTATTGCAAAAAATATTAATTTACAATTTTTAAACGGATATGCACTGATCATATAAATGACAATTAACAATAAAATGATATATTGATAATAAATTCTATACGGTGATTGATGCTTTTGAAGTGGTAGTAAAGTAGGAGGTAACAGTTGAGGGCGAATTAGAAGTCGAGGATTCATCAGTGGTTGTTGTGTCCTTATAACCTCCGCTGCTTTTCACCTTCAAAACTTTAAAATTGCATCTCAATATTCCAGCTAAGCAATCAGAAACTGGAATATGTGTGCGTAAAACAAGAAATTTAAGTGATATTTGTATTTTTATTTCAAAAATTTTAATAGTAATAAATATTAAATAATTTTTTTTAAATATATTTGTAAAAAGTTGTATTACTTATTCCTTTAACGCCAGAAACTTTTCCACCACTCCCATGATTCTTGAACACATATGAAGGTGTTTGTTGAAAATATCGGGGCTGAGGTTGATAAGGCCGTGGTTGATAATCTTAGATTCATATATGTGTTAAAATATATAATTATAATAATCCATATTTTATAAAATTATAATATATAAATATTTTCTATAATTTCACCGTATCCTCTTCTGCCATAATAATAGTTGAAATTTTTTGAATAGATAGCTGATAAATATACCTAGTTTTTTTATTTTTTTTAAAATAAATTAATATAATTTAATTGAATATAGACTACAATTTATAATAACGTAAAAGTTATTGTACTGTAAAGATTAATAGGTAGCTCAATAGCATTGTTTGTAACTCTTCTTTTTTCAGAAACCCTTATAAATAAAAGTTTATATAAAAGCTTGATTTCATTTGACCATTTAAATTTTTTCAGCTTAGTTTTTGTTTAATTTTATAATATATTAATATATCGTATTTAGAAATCTTAATTATATTTAAAAAGCTTTATATATAAAAGATAAACAACTGTTATTATTCTCTCGAATTTTTTCGAAATTTGATCGTAGAAAGCGCTAAAATATTTCTATTTTAAAAGTGGATTTTAAGCATGCCAATGGACTTAATAATGATAAAAAATCGACGAAAATTATAATATAAGTTTACTTGTGAATATTTTAAAGATTAATCAAATATTCCAAGTCTTTTTAATTCTTATTCATAATGCTTAATTTTTGTTATCTTTTCACACATATTTTTTTAATTTTATTTAAAAAATATCTAATAACATTTTTTACGATAAAACAAAATCCTCACAAGAATATATAGATCTTTTCTTTAAAATATTTATAATCGCGATAAAAGATATAATTATAATTTTTTTCATAATTAAATTCGATTACCAAAAAATTTTAATTTGTCAACAAAAGAATTTTCATGGTACAAAATTAAATTAATTATCATCTTTTACAATAATTTTCATAAAACAATAATTTCCATGATGTCATTCTTTTCTTTGATAATATAAACAAAATTCAAAAGAATACTCTCCACTAAAATAAAAGTAAAAAAAATACAACGCAGGCTCGTACTCAATGGGCAAGAAAAAAATAGGATGCCAGATGTATATTTTTCAGAAACATTATTGTTACATGATTATCATTCCCACCCCTTATTACATATTATTTCAATTTACATTTATTTATCACATTCATAGCAGAAATAAATATGCTACTAATTTATTCTGTGAGTTAATATAGATTTCAAATGTTTCTTGGCATTATATTTACAATTTTAAAATTGCTAGCAAAATCATATAAAACTTTTTCATTGCAAAACTAAATAAAACATTTTCAAAAAAATGACATCGATTTGATTGAGACTATGAGAATAACTGAAAGCATATATTGGAACTTAAGGAAATTAGGGTAAATGCAAATGACGAATTTCATAAATAAATTTAATATTTCTTTACCTAGATTTGCAGCAAAGCAAGCCCATTTCCCCAATATTAACCTAGGATCGATTAGTCATATAATTCTACAAAATAAATATCTTTATCCCTCTCTTAGATATCTTTATAAATCAAATGAATGAAAGGGTCTTGATTAATCAGGCAGCACTTACAAATCTGTAAATACAAATATTATTACTGCAATCCTTCTGAATCTATTTCAAATATAGATGGGAAAAAAATTAAATATTTGGCAGATTTATTTTGTGAGTAGGTTAAAGTACCCAACCTATGATGTATCTATCCTGAATAAACGATGGTAAAACAAGTTAAATGTGGCTAATATTTTTCGCGTATAATTTTCTATATTTTTAGTCTTTTTCTTTTTTGTTACTTTTTTTTATAATAATTTATAATTGATTAATTTATAATATATTTTTAATAAAGGAATTAGAATATATATTAAGGTTTAATTTTCTTTCTATTTTATTTCTAGGCACTAATATTCAAATTAACACAATGGTACTGGAGTGTGGATGTGTTCCGGGGCAACTTCAACATTTCAGTCTAATTCCAGGCATTGGTTACAGGGGAACTAGAAGAGTTGTCAAACTGCATTCTAAGGCAAAAATTCAAAAAAAATAAAGAAGTAAGAAAAATAGTTTGTAATAAAAACATTTCGAGAATTGTAATTAAAATTTAAAGTATTGGAAAAAACAAAAATAGAAAATTAATTTATCGTTTAAAATTAAATTTGGATAAGAAAAAGATTTAGAGTTATTTTTGTAGGTTGAAAAGGAAAAATTATTCTACAGTAGTTCATTTAAATTTCGAACTATTTTTTATAAATATTGATAAGATTATGATACAAAATTGTGTAGGAATATAATGATCTTAAATGAAAAACAAAGAATTATAAAGGTAGCATTCATAGTAGATAAGATATAAAAAAGTTTGTGTTATAATTATTTTCAGGTGATAATTTATGAAATTAACAGAAGTTAGTGGTGAACTTAGAAACCAAATGAATATAATAGAAATTATAAGATATTATAGATTTTAAATTATTATAAGTTATTAAATAATTGATCACTAGAGATAACTAAGACAAAAAAAAGGAACATAAATTGTGGAGATTAAATAAATTTATTTGTAAAAATATTTTATAATTGAAAATATGCGAAAATTAAAATTAAACATTTGTTTAAAAGATATGATAATTTAAAAAATTCGGTGAATAAGATTAGAGACTAAGACAAATACACCTTTATTGTTTGATGTTGCAATTAAATTCTTATTAAAAATTAACGTTTAACTTTTATTTTAAGGGCTGAGAGAGATAAAACAGCCTTAAAAATCTGATATGTGAATAAGATACGCATAAGTTAATATTTAGTAAAATATTAGGTTGTTGATTAACCAAAAATCTTCATAAAGAGAAATGGCTTTCATCATTAGAAAATTTATGCCGCAATCGAGCTCAATTAGAGATCGGATTTTTATTTTGAATCATTAACAGGGGTCAATTAGGCAACATTATTCTAATAATAGTAAAAAGAAAAACAAGAGGAAAATAGGGAAATACTAAAGAAGAAATGATAAATTCTATTTTAAATTGTTTTAAATGGAGTTGATATAAGAAAATATCGTGCAGAATGAAGAAATAATTTTTTTTTGAATAATGATGATATGGATACGAAATACTTCAGAAGAGAAAAGGGATTTTTTTTTATATTTAATTAAAATAGACTAGTTACAAGAGTGTAAAATGAAAAAAAAGTAGGAGAATTTAGGAAGTTTTAAAAAAGAAGAATTGAGTGTAAAATAGTGATATATAAGTCCTTTAGAAATATAATTAATAGGTTATTTCAACAAGATGTGCTAGAGTTAAATCATAAATTTATGTTTTAAAATTGATGATAAACATAATCGATTTGTTGAGGAACAAGTGACAATTGTGAGAATCATAATTTTAAGTGTTGATGATAGACATAATTGAGTTGTTTTTTAACAAGTCTACAAGAATTATGAGAATCATTTTGGATTTGATAGACATAATTGATTTGTTTTTTTAACAGGTCTGAGAGAGTTATGAGAATCATAAATTTGGTATGTTGAAAATTGATGATAGACATAATTGATTTGTTTTTTAACAAGTCTGCGAGAGTTATGAGAATCATAATTGTGGATATGATAGACATAATTGATTTGTTTTTTAACAAGTCTGAGATAATTATGAGAATCATAATTGATGGGTGTTGAAAATTGATGATAAACGTGATTGAGTTGTTTTTAACAACGGGTGCAAGACTTATGAGAAGATAAAAGTCAATTGGTTTTCAACAAAGAGAGTAAACGAAAAAGAAGAATAAAAAAAGATATTTATTCAAGTTGTTTTTGAACAATGGGCGTGAACCGAATAAAGGAGAAGAAAAGAAATAGATATTTTATTTTTCTTTAAAGAACAGGCATGTACAAGGATTTATAAACTAAATAAATGCGTATTATCACAAGAAAACAAAATTTTTTGGGTAAAAATTTAGAACTAAGATTTTTTTAGATTCAAGATATTCAAGAGAATTTTAGATTTAAATTTAGCTGTAGACATGGTTGACAATGGATATGGATTGATAGCTAAAGGACACAACTACCTGCATATGGCTCAATGTAGATATGGGTCTGGTCTTCATTGGGGGTAAAGGGGTGGTAGAATTTGACATAATGGTATAATTCATTTAGCTATTTTGACTATGTATTATAATTTTAAGATTTAATGAGTAAATATTTCGAAGTTAAGATATAGGAAGAATTAGATTAGAGGCCATAACCTTATGCATTAAGACGGTGGACATATATATATTTTATTGGTATTTTGAACTGTGTATTTTAAATCGGAGAATAAATGTAAGAAAGGTAAAATATTCAGAAGTTATAAAGGGTTAAATAGATTATTTTAGGTAATTGTATACTGAAACTTGTCAAAGATACGAAAGTCGACGATCATAGAGACAAGAATTCGTGGAACAATAGTTAATCGCTGGCAAATTATCGTCAATCATTTACCGAGATAAAGCGCTAATTATTAGTTACAAGAGTTAGAAACAAGCAAAGTCTAGAATAAGTTATCAAGAGAATTTAAACCGGGCATTAGAAGAGTCAAAGATTGTAAAGAAAGAATAGTATCAATCAATAAATGGAGACTAGCCATCGTGAATAGTTGAAAACATGAGTTAATTAGGTTCGGCAATCGCGTACAGATATAAAGAGATAATCGTTTATCAGAGGTTGACAAGCAACAGAAGATAGAATTCAAGAATTTCAAGCTGTAATCGGATACGAACGATCGTTAGAAACTAAGAATACTAGACAAGGAACAGCCGTCGTTAGAAATTAGAAGACATTAAAGATTAAGAAGAATAGATTTGGTGGATATACAAGATCGTAAAGTCGAAATTGAAAAAATGTTACTTAAGTGGAAGGGTGTTGTAATATTCAGTTACAAAAAGATCTATTATTCAAATTGTGATAATAATCAAACAAAAATAATGTTTTATTAAAATTATTACTTTATTATTTAAATCTTAGACTATGCAAATGAGATGAAAACGCGTGATAATTGTAGATTTTTCATACTTTAAAAGAGTTTAACAATTGGAATTATTTACTTTTTATTTTTCGCATATAATTTTCTTAATTTTTAATCTTTTTCCTTTACGTTATAATTGATTAATTTATAATTAATAGAGTTTAATAAAGGAATTAAAAATTATATTATGGTTTAATTTTCTTTCTATTTTATTTTTAGGCCCTAAATTTTTCAAATATTACTAATGGTCTAAAAAAATTGGAATAAGTTCAAGCAAATATAATCAATGTTATGTCAAACATAATATTTAGGTAAAAATTTTTGAGAATTATTTTCTTATGATATAAACAAGTTACTAAGATTAAATTACTATATGTATATTCAATAATAAAGAAATATAAATTAATTATTATATTTCATTTGTATAAAATTTTTAGATATTATAAAAATTTATAATTCTTTAATATATATTCCGCAAGTTGGAGTTTATTGTCTTAAAATACTATTTAAATTAAAACAATTTAAGAAAGTTAATTTAGTATTACCAAGGGGGAAGGGAGGGTACGCGTTAAAACACTGTGCCCTGACTATTTAAAAAAAATACTTCCGTTAATTCAACGTTAAATGAACCGATACTCATTAGATCACATTATAATATCTGAATGTTTTGAATAGAAATAAAAAAATTTTAATAAGTCTAGCCGTTTAACAACACTACTCCAATTTCATTTTTCATTTGAAAGTATTAAAACAATTATATATATCTTAAATATATCTATTTTCCTTCTAATTACTTGCCCATTTATTTTATTAATCAAATTTAACTTATGGAATAAGGAAAACTGGCATAGGATTATTAAAAGCCCGATTCGAGTCAATTTTTAAAAATGATTTTAGCCAAACAAGCCTCGAGATTTTGGCAAATAGAGGTCCAAACCTCTTTGCCATCTATGATAAAATTCTAAGCTTACACATTATTATTTTGGATAATAAATCTACACGAATGGGACTTTTTAACAAACCTCTAAAAGTATAATAAATAAAAATGATGAGTATATTAATTAAATATAATCTTTTATATTATTCAAAGTAGATGATTTTAAATTACTTAACAATGTCAATATATCATTTCAGGTGCATTATTATAACTTAATGAGGATAATTCTCCCTATAATATCCTGGTTAATGGTAATATTAAATGTCAGAACAAGAATAGTTCTGTTAATTTATATAACATTAAACAACTCATCCACATGGAAGCAGTAGATAATAATATACGTGAACAGGGTTGCCATGTTCACATTGATTAAGACGATGATAATTATTTTAAAAAGTCGAAATCTATAACACTCAACTTAACTACCACTATTCTATCACATTTTTGAAATTTGAAAAAATATATATTTCTCTCACATAATCTCCCACATTCTAAATTTTTCAAAAAACATGTTTTTGAAAATTGGAATAGAAAAATTATCATGTACTTTACGTACAAAAAATTAATTAAATCAACAATTTCAATTTCTTCTTACTATTTGATCCCCTGTTCTAAAATTTATTATGTTTCATCTGAAGATCAATAAAAGGACTGTAATTTATAATTAGCGGGCATATCATATTAGCTAAATTGTAAAAATTTTAAAATGATAAAACTATCATAACACCTATTTATATAAGATTTTCATAAATATTTGAAAAATAAATCCTCCATTATAGTACATTTTTAGACTAGGGATTAGTTTCCTAAAAAGAGTTTGTGAGATGTTTACGAAAATCTACCACCATCTAATAATTTTTACCTGGTAACCTTGCACATGAACATGGATATATAAGTTTTTAATGCATTATTATTTTAGTAAATATATATTTCTCTCAATATGAATATGAATATTTATATATAATATAATTAATAAAAGAAAATATATTGTGATAATTAAAACAAAAATGGCTGTGTCAATGATCGTCTTAATATTTATTCTTAATTCTGATTAGCCTTGTTATTCGAACGATTATTAGAAATTTATAAATGGGTTAATAATAAATATTATATAAGTAAAAAAAAAATATTAATGATACTTTAAAAATCTTCTTGCAAATAATATTCGCCGAATTATTGTATTTTGTGTTGTAATTGTTGAAAAAAGAAGAAATAAATTTAATATAATACATAAAATGTCAGTTATTTTCTGACAGGGGAATTAAGTTTTCCTTGGGGGAAGAAGAGGAGATGATGATCACGGGGTGTATTTCATTGTTCGGAAAAACCCCTAGTGGGAAATGGGAAAATATTGAATAAGATGTCAGCTGTGAACCTTTGGGAGATGAAGAAATGGATAATAATTATATTAAATTTTGGTATATTTTTTACATATTTTATGTTAGATTGTTGTGGTTTTATTGGAAATAAAGATAATTATGTTATATATGGATCGTCGTTAATGGTCAATGGTATTTATTTAATATTATTAGAAAGAATTATTTTGGGTTGTTAAGTTATATAATTGAGAGTAAAGGGCATTTTTATTATATTTAAGGTAACTTTTTTTTATTGTTGCCAGCTGACCAAGATCGAAAGAGTGGGTTGATTCGGTTTTAAAGTAAAACAAAATTTTTGTTGTATACATATTACATAAGAGAAATTTTGACAATGCAATGTATTACAAACTATACAGATACATGAGTTTAAGGATTTCTATACTTTTATATTTAACTTAAAAGGTGTAAGATAGAAAGTATGTAATGAGTATTAGGCAGAAATATGGAAATAAGATCAGGAATTTAAGACAGTAATATTTGGTATATTATCTTATTATGCCTTAAAACTCATTGAATGGTGTTATAGGTATTCCGTCATAGGAAGCTGAAAGACCTCATGAACAGCAGGACAGAAAGGATTGTTAAATATTTAAATATGTGAAATTTATGAAAATATATATGGATATAGACTTTTGTAATAAAGTGTGTATTATTTAATTATGCATTTTGGGTTTGTAAAGGGATGAATATGTATGGGATAATTTATTATTAATTAATGTTAATATATTGCATAGGTAACATATGATATATTTAACTATGAATTATTATTTATAATGTTAATATATTGTATAGGTAACATATGATATATTTAATTATGAATGAGAATTTGAAGGAATTGAAGTATGATGAAGTCAGAATAATATCTATAATGTTAGATGTGGATAGTTATTTTGATTTAGTGTCTGCATTTAGTGTATATATAAATTGGATAGGAATTTATATGATACATTAGATGGTGTATAATATTTTTTTTTTTCAAATTATGAAATCTTTATATTTAATATATATATATTTTTTTTAAATTATAAATTTTTATAAGAAGTTTTATTTGCAATTATTATATTATTTGTGTGGTATGCAATGATGTGAAGGGAAAATATTTTTACAGATAAGGTCAGCCCGTGTTGAGGGGTATGCCTTGAGGTGAAAATATTGTTTAGTTTGCATACTGGGAAAGTTTTTTTTTTGTAAATTTATGCTGCATAATACATTTTTTTTTATCTTTTTAATAATTTTATAACACATCACATTTTACTATTTAATTATGAACATATTTTTAAAGAAAAGACTCAAATTATTTTATATTGTGAAGGTATATTAAAAATTCTTTACATATATACCATATAGCTCATTATATTATCAATTTTTGTTACTTTGCATTCTACATTTTTGTGAATTTGTGCTAATTGTGATGACAGAGTTAGGTAGAAATGGTATATTTTTCTTAGGATACTGAGTAATTCCTAGATGGAAAATATTGTATTTTCTACATATTATATATTTGTTCCTTCATATATAATATTAAATGTATTTATATACGTATGTATTGTAATTTTATTTATAATCTTTGTTCGGCCAAGTTTCGCAATTATTTTTAATACCTAAAGATGGATTTTTATATTCATTTTAGGAAATATTTATAAAGATGTAGCTTTGTTTTTTTTCACATGATAGAAGGAAAATTACATGTGTTGAAATTGCATTTCACACTTAGACAATGTTTTCACATTACATTATTATATGTAAGATCATTATTTCCTAATTACCATGAATCATACCCTAATAATGTATATTATAGCTAGTAGTTCCCAAATGTCTTAAAATGAATAAATTATTATGTTTTGCGGATATTACATTGTCCATATTAATGTTCCGTAGATTATAAATGCAGATACCCCAATGTACATGTCATTATTGATAATGTCTGTTTTGGCGATTTTATATTGAAATGTACTGGAGTTATTATATTATAAATCATTATAAGGGAAGTTGATTCGACAGATTCCCTGAACGTCTTCAAGGCGTCTTGATACAATTCAAAAAGGTGATTCGATACAATTCAAAGGGGTGATTCGATACAATTCAAAGAGGTGATTCGATACAACACCACCACAGAGAGAGGGACGCTGGGCTTGTGAAGGGTGGGCGTGTTGTAATTGTTGAAAAAAGAAGAAATAAATTTAATATAATACATAAAATGTCAGTTATTTTCTGACAGGGGAATTAAGTTTTCCTTGGGGGAAGAAGAGGAGATGATGATCACGGGGTGTATTTCATTGTTCGGAAAAACCCCTAGTGGGAAATGGGAAAATATTGAATAAGATGTCAGCTGTGAACCTTTGGGAGATGAAGAAATGGATAATAATTATATTAAATTTTGGTATATTTTTTTACATATTTTATGTTAGATTGTTGTGGTTTTATTGGAAATAAAGATAATTATGTTATATATGGATCGTCGTTAATGGTCAATGGTATTTATTTAATATTATTAGAAAGAATTATTTTGGGTTGTTAAGTTATATAATTGAGAGTAAAGGGCATTTTTATTATATTTAAGGTAACTTTTTTTTATTTTGGATATTTAATATTTATATTATAAATACGTTTGTTCAAATAGTACTTGTATTTATATTCAAATACTTTTTTTGAAGTGTATTTATATTGATTTGGGTCAATTTTTAAAAATGGTCCGATTAAGATTTTAACCAAAATAATATTATAAGCCTGGAATATTGCTAGTAGGTGGCTTAAAGGTTTGGACTTTTATTTGCCAAATCTCGAGGCTTGCACAATATTTGGGTTAAAATCTTAGTCAGGCCGTTTATAAAAATTGACCCAAATAGAGCAGTATATTGTATTTATAATCGAATACACATTTTTGAAAATTTGTCCAACCTTGTATACTTTCAATTTTTGTATGTTAACATTGACCCACTAACAGAATTCCTGTAAAAATATCTTATAAACACAATAGCTAAATATAAAAACTCATCTACAAATTACTATAACTTCTTGTTTTCCCTTTTAATATTTTAAAAATATAAACGGTTTTTAAATGGAAGATGTTAATTTTTTTTACTAACTCGGGTCACAAATTTAATATTAGTTATTTATATTTATATTCCAAAATCGTGAATAAATAGAATATACATTTTATTTTTTAATATTTAAAATACAATTACTTTCTAAAATATTTAGTTAAATATAAAGCCATTTCCAGACCGAACGTTTTTTCAATGCGGGATTTGGGTAATGTTACCAGCTTTCCAAAAAAAAAACTAATCGAATTATTTTTTTTATATAATATGATATTTTTTTTAAAAAAAAAATCGGATACCTATTTTCTTAATCGTAAATAGAAAACAAACTGGTTTGATTTTAATAACGATTGGCCTCTTGATCTTGAACACCGGAGTTATTTTTAAATATTATATAATAAAATTAATTAAACAAGTTAGTATCCTTTGTTTGGAAATTAAAAAAATTGCTGGTAACATTACCTAAAAACCGCTTTGAACTGTCTGAAAATTGCCTAAAATACAATTATTAGCGATCAACATTAAACTTAGAAATTAAATCGTTATTTGTACTAATAAACATTTTATAGATAAAATATGAATAAAGTTTATTTTTAAGTAATAATGTAATATAATTTTAAAAATATTAATAAAGCAAAAATTATTTTAAAAAATAATAATACGCAAACTTGCGGATTAAATATTATAGAAATATATATTTTATTAAAAGATTTACACTCTTTATTATATAAAAACAGTGGCGTATCCAGGATTTTCTTATGGAGGGGGGGGGGGGGGATTTTTGGGGGAGCTTTGCCCCTAAACCCCTTTACCTGGCCTTCGGCCAGTTTTTCCCGGCCTTCGGCCGTGTCTTATGTTTTAGCTATTCTATTAAATTATTCATAATTTAATAATAATTATAAATCTATTTTTAACTATTATTTACTAATTCGTGCTTATGGATATTACAATCCTATTTTTATTATTTTAAGTTAAGTATATTATATTTAATAAAGTTTTTTTTAAATGTAAAGTTGAAATAAAGTTTAATGTCATTTTTTTTTATAAAATTTGCTTTAAAAACTAGCCTAGCTTAAATTCTCATACAATATAAGTAGAATATAATTTTTTTTATTGAAAATACTAATAGTAGTGTGTATAAAATATTGACTAGAAAATAAAAAAACAAGTTTTTTTTAACTTCTTATCAAATACAATATTATACAAAAAATTTTATTAAATACTATAATTATAATGAGATTTTTAATTTTCGTGGGAATGTTGCCAATTCATCAAGAATTTCGTTTGTCGTTGGAACCAAATCTCTGTGGATATTTAACAGAGCTAACCCATTTAGCCGAGATTCGGAAGTAGTACTTCGTAAATATGTTTTCAACCTTCTCAAGTTGGAAAAAGTCCTTTCATTCGTGCATGTTGTAATAGGAAAACATGCAAGAATATATAACAACTTCAAAATATTAGGAAATTGAGCCAAAGTTTCTTTACAGAGTTTGAGCGCATCAATAGCATGCTCAGGTAAAATAGCTAAACGTAGTAAATATTTATACCACAATTCGAATTCACTGATTAAATTTATTTCAGTATCAATATCATAGGAATAAAATTTTGCTAAATATTTAATTTTACCAATAGTGGCACTAGAAAACGAAGAAGGATCTTTGGGTAATAAAACTTGAAGATTGCTAAAGACTTTTTTTATCTAAAAACCGTACTTTTATTTACGATAAAAAAGTATCTAAAAACTAGGTTGACGAGGCTTAATAAGTGTTATATCATAAAATTTAGCTTCGATCAACGTTTAGATAAATATTATGAAAATATTCATCTACATTCATTCTTATTGTATCTACCTGTTCATATATATTTTCCGCCAAATCAATAACCTGAACCAAATCTATATTGGTTTTTGTAAATTTCTACAAATTAGTGCGCTATAGAAAAATAATTTATTGATGTAACTAGCAGCAATGATAAACTATGATTGATCAATTGAGTTCAATAATGATATCGCTTCTGATGACACATTACTTTTTTTCATGCTCAGCCTTATTTAACTTTTGTATGTAAGTAAAAATGAAAAATATTTAAAAAATTATAGATATTTATTAATAATTAAAATATTATTAAAAATACTTATTAATTCTAAAACTCACTAATAATTTTGAAATTAATAAAAGAATTATATATATAATAATAAAATAAATTACCGTTTGATTTCAATCTCTTTGACTAAAATTTTTCCCATTTTATTAATATTTTTGAATAATGTTAATGTACTCACAAGGAAAGGAAATTTTAATAAAATTTATTTATAAAAAATAAGTTTTATGTTGGAAAATTGATATTCAAATATTTGTAAAATTTTGATTGGGGGAGGGGGGGGGGGGGTTGAAATTTTTATTAGCTTAAAACGATATTTATGAAAACAGTCAAATTTGCGATGGGGGGGATTTCCCCAGCATTGGTTACGCGCCTTTATAAAAACAAATAATATTTCTTCTATATAATATCGACATTTTAAATCTTAAATATTTTTCATATTTACCAGACTAAAAAAGAAACTCTAATTGGTAACTCTTCAATAGAGGGAAAGACTGAACTAGACTTAATAAATAT